GCTGCAGCCCTTGACCTTCCATCAGTACACTGGAGCCTTTCTTTTTGATTTTTCCTGTGGAAAGATGTAAATCTGTCACCGTCTGACAGTAAATCACCCTAAAAGCAGCAGTGCACAGCAGGGAATGCCCCTGCATGGACTTCTGGGCCTTGGGGGGAAATCTATTTGAATATAGCTTTGAGTAAGAAGCCCAAAAAACATCTTTGAGCAGGCAATTGATGGGGTGCAATCTTGCTTTTTGTTGTTAAATTCCACTATAATTCTTAGGAAATAAGATGCAGAAATAAATCATTTCAGGGATCCTGGAAAATCAAGCACGGGATAAAATGAGACCCACGTGAGATTACTTCCGAAGACATGCTTCAATGTCCGGGCATATTGTTCACTTGAGACAAAGCTTGCTGCCTTTCCCCTTTGAGCTGCCTGGAAGGGATCCCAATTCCTCTGAGAGGACTTATTATTTGTGTGCATTTACTGCCCGAGGGATGCAAATCAGCCCCAGCTCCCGGCTGCGAGCGCTGGTCCTTATGCAGCCTGGCTGGATGCGCGGCCGCAGCGGAGCAAGGGCTGGGACCCGGCCCCGGTGCCCCAAAGCATGGCCATGGCCACAGCTCCAAGGTGGTCTGTGGTACCCAGGTGGTGAGCAAGTGCCAAACGGTGCAACGTGGTGACTCATGGAACAGCCAGGGCTTGGGGGCAGCCACAACCAAGGCGGCATCGTGAGTGACAGCAGAGCGCACACCATGGGATGCTGCTGGCACTGGGTGGCACAAGCTGGGGGAGGCAGCTGGTTTTAGGCACTGTCTGTTTGAAATAGCACTCAGTGGCCATGCTGCAGCCAGCCTCCCCCTGCACAGGCACGAGGGGACACCAAATTAAGCACAAGCCTCCTATCACTCTGGGTTTCCTGTGTCAGCAGCAGCAGCAGCTTTCTGTGCACACACCATCACCACCACCCCCAGCCTCACAACCCCTTGCAGAAAGGGTTTGTTCTTGCTCAGGCTGAAGGAAAGACCTGAAGACCTCCTGCATGCACACTGACCACAGGCACTGCGGGTGGAAAGGAAGCAGAAAACACCACTGCTAAAATTTCAGCTGTTTGACAGCAGCTCCCTGTCATATACTGCAAATACACATTTTCTTACGGGGAACAATGATTCAGAGAGTTTTAACTTCTTTTCAGGTAGCTGGGGAGACCACTGGACTTCTTTGAGTGCAGGCACAGACTAGGACTCTGGGTCCTTTGGCTCTCAGATGCTCCCCAAAGATGGGTAACAAGGCACAGAAAAGCAGCCTGGGTTGGCTTTGGGGAAGGGGTTAATTTCACCCTTAAATTAGCAACTAAATCTGATGCCAGAGCAGGGGGACACTGGAGGCCTTACTAGCTCCATGCTCTCCTTGACCCATGAGCAGCTTTTCTCCATTGCCCTCCCCCACTTCCTCCTGCTCTTGCATTATCCCTCTGATGTGCTGGCACTGCTATTTCTGTAGTCAAAACAAGATTGTTGGAAAAATAACCTGCAAGAAGCAGTGTGAGGTTTGTCTCCACAGATTAAGCAACGCTGCTGGCTGAGCAGATGCTGAGCTCTGCACTAAGGCAGGGGACAACCCTGCAGGGTACAAACCTCAGGGGTCAGGATGGACTTTTCATAGTTGACAGCACCTGGGGCTTCTCTGTGCATCTCATCTCTAAACCAGAAAGAACAATAATCCCCTCTGCAAAGTGTTGTGAGATGTGAGTTGGAAATGGATGAGGACCTTATTATGCATCCCAGACAGCACTCACCCCAGCTGCCCGCGCCAGCCCACACCACCAGCCGCATTTGGCAGCCAACGCAGTAGGCACCACATCTCTCACCCAAGAATCTGCTTTGCCCTCCTCCCCTGGCACTTAGAGCCTGTAGGTGTGTGTCACCCCAGCACTGCCAGCAGCCCACCCTTGGTGCTTGTTCAGACTTTAATTCAACGTGTCCGGACGTGTGTCAAACCTTACAGCCCCACAGTCAGTAACTGTGTGCAGTGTCTGGAGGTCAGGATGTGAGTAAACACCCTGCTTGCAGAGCTGGCAGGGTGCTGGGACCAGCCTCTGGGCTGGGCACTGCTGCTGTTTGCTCTCACACTCACCACCCTCTGCCCAGCCAGCTCCAGTCTCTGTCACCTTTGGCAGACGTTGAAGCTTTCCGTTTGGCCTGACTTTTACTCTCTGCTTTTGGGTTTTTGCTCTTGTCTTTGCTTTTCTTCTTGTCCTGTGGAGAGAGCTGTTTCCATAGTTAGGCTGTGATGAAACTCACTGCCCGCACTCAGTCCTGTGACTGGCATCACCATCTGGGTTTGGTCACGGGGATTTAAAGGGCAGAGGAAAGAAGTGAGGGGAAGCAGATGCACAGTGGAGGGGATGTTCAGAGGAGAGAATCCACAGAATAGAAAGTGTGAGCTGGGGTGTGTCGCCATGCTGAGAGAGCCTCAGAGGAAGCACGAGGGGTTGCTTTCATATTCTCAAGTGGAAAAATAAACTCATCTATTTTCCTAGGCCCAGAAAAAGTAGCAGTACTTATTGCTAGTATCAACACTAAGTAAGGATACCCAGCAGTGATGGATGATGCTATTTCAGCCCCATTTTATGGAGAGGAGAACTGAGGGATGCATGGGAGGGATGTCCAGGCCAGGCTATGCTGAACCCCAGCCTGCAGCACTGCCCATCCCTGGCAGCATTGCCTCACATGCCCTGGAGCACGCTCCTTACCTTCTCCCCCACACTTGGTGGCTGCAGTGGTTGTTCAGTGACCAGAATCCCAAAGTCACACAGAGCTGTCACCAGGTCCTCAGTGGCCAGCAGAGACTCCAGGGTCACCTTCCTGGTGCCCAGGGTCCTCCGAATGGGAGGGTCACTGCGGAGTTCACATGACTTTTCCTTCTTCTTTTTCTGCTTGTCCTTGCGTGCAGGACCCTGCAGGATACCAGCGCAGGGACAAGCCTCAGTGGAGGGCTGGGGTCCCCTTATCAGAGAGCAAACCCCACCCCAGCCCCTTGCCCACTGCATCCAGACCAAGATGTGTGTAGAACTGCTGCTGCCTTCCTCCCATAGCAAGAGGGTACTTTGGTGAGAGGTCTGGGATGGAGGAGAGAGTCTCTGACACACCAAACTGATCCAAGAGAAGGGTCCTTGTTCCCCCACCATTGTTTTTGCACCCTGGGTGTTATTTGGGCATTGTGCTCTCCCAGCACCTACCTTGGCACCATCCTTCTGCTGCCCTCGTCCTGCCTTCTTATTTGTGTCTGTGTTTTCTTCTGGATCAGCTTCAATAGGCCATGAGAGCACCTGCCCGGAGAGAGGAGCTGGTGCTGCAGGGGCTGGGACACCCGAGGACCCTGGCCCAGGGTCACTGCTATCCCGGGCTGCACCTCTGAGGGAACACAGCACCACTGCTGGGCCTCCCAGCAGCTCCTTCCCCTTTCATCCACCTCTGCCACACGCTCACCTTCTCCTCCACAACAGAGACAATTGTTCCAGCCGCCAGGTAGGACTTCAGCCTCACTAAGTCTTTAACAATATGCTCCTTCCTGTAGCTGTAGTCAATGGTATCTTCCCAGGGCTTTCCAGGGGTGACAAACACCTTTGCTGTGCAGGACACGAAAAGCCTCTGAGAGAGCTCTCCTTCCTGAGGACAGAAGGACCCCCAGGACATGACCTGCGCCAATTCATTATCCATCAGTCCCAGTAACAGCCCAGCTGCAGCCAACACTACAAGGGACAACCTGATGCCACCATATGCCAGGAAGAGGCATAAACCTGCCTTGAGCAGTAGGGCAGGAGACTTAGAATTCCTCCTTACCAGAGCTGGCCTTGGGCTCCTCTGTGGCTGCAGGGTCCTGCTGGCTCTTTGTTTCTCCCGTGTACTGAGCAGAGCTGTCTGCATCCAAGGTGGCCACCTCAGGACTCTGATGGATTTTTGTTACCTGGAACAGAGGGGGATCTCTTGGCAGGGCATGTCTGGCTTGCATCAGGACCAGGGGGCAGAGCTCTGCAGCTGGGAGGTGAAGTCCCCCTTTGCTGTAACCTGCCACTGCCTGTTGCTTTCAGGAGCTCTGTTAAGCACGAACCTCAGTGCTGCTGCTGTTGTCAAGCTCCTCTCCCTCCACAAACTCATATGTCACACAGTAGCTGTAGGTGATCACTGGAAAGTCGGAGTCATTCGCCAGCTGCTGAAGAGTACTAGGATCAGGGACTCCTTTCATGTCCCCAACACTCACAACCACTCGTGCTTCACTCCTCATTAGCTCTAAAAGGAAGACAATCTTGCTATGAAGCTGCAGTGTGCTCCTTCCAGAGTGAGGGCAGTACAGAGCAAGGTGAAATCACCAGTGGAAACCAGGCGAGGAAGTGTCCCTCCACCCGGCATCGCTCCCTGCCACCTTGTGCTAACGCTGTGACAAGCCACTGCCACGTGGGGTCACTCCAAAGCCATACAAGCATCTCCTGCCTTGGTTGCTTTGCGTCCCTGGTTAACTCTATAGACTCCAAAGAGCGCATCCAGCGCTTAAACTCATTGAGTAGTGGCCATCAAGAGGGGTTTCCTACCCCCGGGGTGTCCCCAGCCCCCTGCTCTTGTCCCAGTTGGGGATGTGCCACGCTACAGAGGTGGCAATACTTCATGTGGGCAGTGCAGCACCCACGTGAGCATCTTCTCCAGTGGAGATGTTCCTCTTTCAGCAGCTGGAGAGGAAAACAGAGTCTGAAACCAGACAGTGTCTAGGAAGCTAAGATGGGGGCAGAGAATGACACCAAACCGGTGCTAGGACTAGGTTGTTCTTGCAACCTTTGGACCTGACTATGGCTAAAACTACCTCGAGTGTAATTACACTGCTGCAGGGTTCTCTGCCTGTCTCCCCACTTGCACTAGTGGGGTAAGAAAGCACAGAGAAAGATCTCCATTTGAGAAGAGGCAAGAGGGAAGTCAATACTGGATCCAGAGTTTGCCCTGAGGACTTGTAGCTCAACCATGGTGAAACCACCTCCCGAATCATGGAGGCAGCAGAGAGAAGTTAAAGGGTCAAGACTCACCTGGCTGACTTGCCAAACCAAGGAACTGGTGCCTCTCATCAAACCCTACGTGGATGTCATCGAGGATGCAGAGCTTGGGCAGGCTGTCCACAAGGAAGCCTCTGTAAGTGGGAATGAGAGCCAGCGGGTTCCCTTTGAGCACGAGGATGCGGAGCTTCTCCAGACTGGACAGTTGGGAGACCAGCCCCACCAAATCCGTTAAGTTGTTAAAGCTCAGGTCAAGGGAGACAAGATTTGGCCTAAGGAGAGAACACAGAGAAGATGATTAGGCAAAGAGCATCTAGAGAGCTGCTACCCTGGGTCAAAAAAGAAACAAAACCTGCTTTTTCCAGCACAAACTGAGTCAAACTGGGGAATCCAATGGTACAATCTCAAGAGGCCAATACCAAATTCCTTAGCCACATGGTCCATTGTCAGTCTGCCCCACAACTCAAACCCATGTTTCTTTAGCATCCGTGAACCACCCCACTGCATCATTTGGTGATATAGCCCAAGCTTTAGATCCTTCCCAGGGTAGACTCCCAGCAGGGACTTTGGGAAGGGCATGGAAAAAGGAAGCTACGCAGGGACATAGGAACTCTGGTGGGCAGGGTGTCAAGATAGTTCCTTGGGTGATTTCCCTGTTCCACACCTTGGCCACAGACCAAGACAACCTCTGAGCATGAAACATAGGCAGAGGCAAACCACTCTGCACAGGCAGCAGACACAGAGCAAAGGAACAACCCTGCTGAAGGGCTGTCATGTCCTAACATGGGCCACCTCAATGGCTTCAGGTCATCTCTTCACATCTGCGCATCTCCCTTTCAGGAGCCCACGTTCAGCCTGTGGCATTACCAGAAGGCTGCAGTGAGGTACTTGTCCTGTGAAGGTCCACACAGCCTGTTGTATCCCAGCCCCAAGTGCAGAAGCTCTGGAGGAGGCTGAGCACACAGGTCCTGCAGATCAGCCACAGCATTGCAGCAGAGCTCCAGGACCTGCCCGGGACAGAGAGAACAACAAACGCCCTTTGCAATGAGTTGTTCCTGACATTCCCCCAAGCTCTTTGGTTTGCACTGTGTTCCCAGATGGGACCTCCTTCCCCATCCTGCCATTGCAAGGGATTGCTCACTTACCTTCAGTGTCCGGGGCAGGTTGGCCGAGGTTATCCTACTGATGTGGTTGGCACTGAGGATGAGCTCCTCCAGCTGCTGTAACTGCAACAGACCCTCATCAAGCTCCTCCACCTGCAAAGAGCTGGGTTTGGCCAATGTGTCCCTGAGCCTCCTCCTGGCCAAGGTGACACAGACATGTAGTGCTGATCCACATGACATGTGTAACATGGATTAGTGCAACACATTGGGGATGGGGCAGTAGCTCTACTCCAGCAGCAATAGTGGCATCTGGGAAGTCCCAGGGATGGTGAAGGTGTCCTTTTCCCAGGGTATTTTCCCTCCCAACGGGGAGATGCGGTTTCCTGGCCTGGAGATGGGTAGTTTTATGGGCACCAGCACCTGCACTTACTCCCTTGTCAACGATCCGCAGGGACCTGAGAACCTGGAAGATGTTGGAGCCGCAGACGAGTTTGGGCTGCAGCACAGCCACTTCCCGCAGGTGCTGGTCCTGGGGGCTGCAGCCTGGTGGCAGGGCCCAGGGGCTGTGTCGGTCCTTCAGCAGCTCTATCAGTGCCTCAGGGCTCTCCTCACTCAGTGGCACGTCCTCCTCGTGCCCGGCCGGGTCTGCCCACAGCCTTGTCTGGCGCCCACGGGGGCTCCTGCGTGCAGGAAAGCGGGACTTGTTCTGCAGAGGAGAGAGGAGAGGCAGTGACAGCCCTGCAGACCACAGACCCCCAGCCACATCCCATGGCTGTGCCCCCTGGCCCATACCCAGCTGCCCAGGCCACAGGGGAAGTCCTGCAGAGCCAGCTGCCTCAGCTGCTCCTGAAGAGCAGCAGAGACACTGCAGGGACCGGGTGCTGCCATCCAGCCCCAGCCCAGCATGGAATTCCCTGGCTCAGTGACAAAGAGTCCCTGTCGCTAGGAGATGGCAGGGACGTGGGTGCCCTGGGGACCAAGCTCTGCAAGCAGAGTGAGCCTGGAACAGCACTGAGCTCCCCAGGCTGGGAATAAATGCCTGGTTTCCTGGATCTCTCCCTGGGAGCTGTGGGGTTCTCCCCACCAGGGAGAGTGGGCAGCCTTATGGAGCAATTGCAGAGGGCAGCATCAGCCCTGTCCCCTGGCCAAGGATCTGTGACGTGGCATTTGCCATCTCACTCAACTACATCCTGAGCGTCACTCAAGTTTCGGGGAGGAAGCAGACAGGTTCTGTTAGCTGTAAAAGTGCTGCTGTTCACTCACGTGGAGGGCACCACCACTACAGCAGCCCAAGGCCATCGGAAAACAAAGTTCACAGCTAAAAGTACCAGCTCCTACACTTGGAAAAAGTAGGTGAACCCCAGGAGCAAAAGCCACATCTGTGTCTCAGGTCAGACTCAGGTCTGCACTCTGAGGTTTATTTGGTTTTTCCAGTGATAGGTGCTGAGGCAATGGCTACAAATTCCAGTTTAGGGAGCCTACAGAGCAGCCTGTGTCAGCAAAACTTCAGCAGATGAATTGCAGATGCCCTCTGGCATCTGGTGGTTACGTGGTGGAAAGCTGAACTTCCACTCAGGTTGGGTTTTACAGGACAGATGCCGATCTGCTCCCTTATCAGCTCAGCACCTTATCACAGCTGTGTACTGATAGGAAACAATGTGCAGAGCATGCACATGCTGAGATCGTGGCATGCCATGAGGTGGAAGAGCCAGGCCAACAGCCGTCCTTGACTCAGTACAAAATGAAGTCAACTCTTCTACAGATCTTTGGCAAAGCATCACTAGTGGTTGAACCGTGTTTCATGGAAAAGCCGAGCTGTAAGAACGCTGCTTCTCTTACTCGTATCACTGTTACAAGTAACCGGGCCCCACTGCCACTGGTGCTGCACAGAGATGTCCCCTGCTCTCAGAAGAAGACTGGCTGTGATTCCTTGTCTGTCCCCCACTGGCTGTACCCATCTGGGGCAGCTGGAAGGGGACTGGCACTGCCCAATGCCCAGTGGTCTCCTGATGTGAAAGCTCATGCACCTTCCACACACCTTGCAATGCACTGTGTGGCACTAACCAGCTGCATCTCTCTGCTCTTTTGGTGCTTCCAAACAAGCAGCCCTCCAAGATCACCCTTCTACCCGAAAGGAGCCATCTGTACCCATCATTGTCTTCATAGAGATGTTCCTGCACACCCTGCACAAAGAAACATCCCCCTCTCTCTTATTCAGTTTTGAATCTATGACTGCTTTCAGGCATCTTTTCAACAGACTTCAGAAGGTATCTTCACATATCTTTTATCACAGAACTGCAAAGTACAAGTGTGTATGTATGAAATTTTCACAAAGCTATATTCATGTGTTTCCTCTGCCCTTCTTTGTGTCCTAAACTACCAGTATTCCTGCAGGTCCGCTTCTGATCACAGCTCCATACTTGTAAATCCTAGGAACAACTTTTCTTTGGTTTGGTGTGTATAAGAATTTCCTGCATTTAGCTGCTGGAAAAGGAAAATCACCTCAGGGGAGTTAGAGAGCTGGGCAACAGAGATGGGGAGGTGGGATCCTGGACATCCTCTGCTAAGATATGTGGGAAGCCTTACAGACATCCAGCAAAAGGATTTCCATGTCGACCTGGAGGCCTGACCTGCCTTGCACACAAGCCCCTCATGGCTTTTTCACTCCCTACATTAGCCCACACTTACGTTGATCCTGCAGGAGGTGGTTTCTGACTTTGGGCACCAATAACGTGCTTGTGTGCTCCAATCACGTTCTTAAAAACATCTAGTTTATGTTCGAAATCCTACATTTTGGAGGTTTAGGTGGATGCTAAGCCAAGCATCCTGAAGTCCTACTCAGACGTTACAGGACACCATCCATGTCAGTTTGAAACTGCATCTAGATCACAATCAGCGAATACTCATCTGAACCAACTTTTGATGTGATCTGTCAAAAAGGAAAAAAACCCAAACTATCACCAGCAGAAAAAACACCCATGGGGGAGCCACTGACGCAAACCTCCAGGGTACTTAAACACAGCTTGGCTGGCCACATCTACAGCACTCCAGGCAACGAGCAGCTTGAACGCCAGCGTCCAGCCAGCTTTCGGCCAAGTCAGCTGCTCCCCAAGCCCGCCATGAAGCGCCGAGCAGGTGGGTACCACTTAACCTTGCTCCTTGTTGTAAGGTTGCACTGGTTGGTGTTCATCATCAGCTCAGCCACTTCATGTTGATACGCGTTAGGCATTTAGCACGCTGCACAAAAGCAGGAAGCTTTGCAAAAATGATGTAGAGGTTTGAGACTGATCATCGTGTTCTTGCTTTTTTGTCTTCTTTCCCCTCTTCATTTGAATGCAGAGATCAACAGGTTTGCAATCTTCCTCTTCTGTTCACTGGTTCCTTTGGGCTCCTTGGCACCAACAGCCACTTTGGAAGGATGCAAAATTACTACAGGACAGACACAGGAGCGATTTATTACCCAAATAAAGCCCTTAGCATCGGTGATAGAAAGGCAAGCAACTGTCTTGTTTAACAACTACGTAAGTGTACTATTTTGCATTTGCTGTGTCTTATGTCTGTGGAAAAATCTCTTCAATTATTATAAGACACTAGAAAGATCATCAGAAAATAAATATTTGGGTTAGAACCTGAAATAGTCTCTTCTTTGTATTCCGTACAAGAAGGAAGGCATTTACATTGCAGTATTTTAGGTCAGAGTTGGAGCAATGCCTAGGATGGCTGGGGAAAACTTGGGCAACCCTGCCTCAGCTACCTGCTAGGTCTGATCTTCCAGACTAGCAGCATTGTTCCTTCTTGGCTTCCCGAGTCATGCTGGGCTTGAAGCAGGCATGTGTTTTTAGGTGATCACTGGAAACATGGAGAGAACCGCTTTGCTCTTAAGTCTGATCCGACTACCAGAGCAGTCAGGAGCACTTCTGCTGAAAATTCTCCTTGGAGATGGTACAATGTGCACTGAACCCAAGCGCCAATGCTTCAGACGTTTTAATTCCTGGGAACACGTTGATACAAATCAACATAAACATTTCCCCCAGGTCATTCTTGAAATCAAAACCACCTCTGCTGAAACAGAAGAAAACACACTCAGGCCCAAGCAAATCTTTGCGTGAGTAGATTTTGCCCATATGGCAAAGGAAAAAAACCAAAGCCAAGCAGGGTATTAAGACAGAAAGTGCTGCACAATCATAGCCATAGATAGTGTGCAATACCTACTCGATAAAAGGAGCGTAGGTGTTAATACAGCCATTAAACAGCAACAGAGAAACCCAAGCATGCACGAACTGAAAGATAGGTGTGATGTGCCCAGGCATTCAAACACAAAGCAATTACCAGGAAAGATGCAAACCAAAAGATTAATAATGTCTCTCCTTTTCCTCCCCTCAGAACACATGTAGCTGTGTAACACCCCAAACTGAAAGCTGGCTCACTGCTGCCTCCCAAGCCAAAGGCATGGTGAAGAAGATACCCGAGTGCCCAGCTTTTGATGCAGATTGCTGCTTTTTCCATGTTTTTTACAACATTCTGCAAGACCTGAGAAGTGACATAGAATTACTCTGTGGTAAGAATTTAACTCGGTTCATTGATGCAAACATCAATCAGCTGAATGTGACACTGAGTGAACGAGCTGCCCTTTACACCTGCAAGAACAAGGACCTTCCACAGGTGGATCGTAGTCAGGTCCAGAGGATGAAAACAACAGAGAAGAAGATGTACATCTGGTGGGTTTTACACAGATACAAACAATTTATGCAGAACACAACCAAAATGTACTCCTCAGCAGAAATGTAATATACCAGGATGAAAAAATGAGATACTAGTCTTGGCTAAATGTGACCCGTCAGTAGCGCTGTGATCAGCTCGATGCCAGGAACAACCACCATCGTGTACTTGCTATTCTACATACTTTAACTATATTATCTAGTTTAATTTAATATTTAAAGGAAAAATGTCTCAAGTTATTGATCGTATTTATTATAAAAGTATTTATACTGTTTTATTTGCAACAGCACAGAAAAACGATGGACTAATGTAATGGTGATTTAATTAACCAATACAACATGAGCAAACAGAAAAGCATGACTGCAGTCATTTTGATGTTATTTATATTTTTATCTTGCGATTTCATCTTAAAAGCTGTCAGTAGACTTTGTACTTCTCTTTACTAGTGAATTGTATTTATGAATTCATATAATACATCTATTTTTATAAACTTATTTTAAGAATTATATAGTTTATATCTATTTATTCAGATTTTAAACTTTTATATTTTAATACTGAAAGAGATAAATAATATCTGTGCTACTTAGTAGGTGAATGGGTTTAATAATTTTCTGTCATTATATGTGGATAGAACCTGGAATTTAATTAAAATGAGATTAAATAAAACTATTCTTGTTGGATTCTCTTTTTACCATGTAATTCTTTTGTACAATATTTTTTTGCCCTATAAATCTGGTGTTTAATTAAACAGCAAACTGAAGTAGCTCTTTCTGGTCCTAATGTTACAGATACTAGAAACAGCACGTATTCTCCTTTCCCATCCATTTTTATCCATAGACATGAAGTTTTGTTTCTTCTAACTGGTTTCTTGTTTGGATACACCACCGTTTTCTCATCAGCCCCTACTTCTGAAGGGTGAATTATTGCTGGGTTAGCTCAGACACAACCACTGAAATGTGGCTGAGCTAAATACTGCTCCTTGAGCTGGTAATAGAGAGATACTCAAATGGTTGAGAAGCAACAGGACTTGTCATATACTTGTCTTTTCCTTTATTTCATATCAAGTCCTCATTACCCCAATAATGGGAAGGTTAATAATAATACAATTATTACAGTCTAAATTACCTTATGAAGTTTAAGCCAGCCTAAGCATTAGAATCAGTTCCAAAGTTATCATTACCTATATATTAAAGTTAAAAAAAATATTATTTAGCTATAGATAAAAAATTAATTTGACTTGAAGTGCCTACT